TTAATCCAAAAGTGCCAAAGAAAAGAGGCTCTTAGAGTAATCCCTTAAGCAATCATTGGCTCAAGGGAAAGGAGAGTCTAAAGCTGCTAAGCAAAGGCCAATGGAGAAAGGATCATCTTCCAAAGGTGATAAGGTAAACATTTCTGACTTGCCTTTTTCTCATTCCTATCTCATGCGCAAGAAAGTTGTTGACAAGAGAGATAATAATGAGCTTTTTGAAATGTTTAGCAAACTTGAGATTAATGCTCTATTACTTGATTTGATTAAGAAGATGCCCAACTGTGCTAATTTTGTGAAAGATCTATGTACAAACGAGAGGAAGTATAGGCATAGTGAGAGAATCTAACTAGAGTCTAGTGTTAGTACTATCTTCAAGCCATAGTTACCTATTAAGTGTAAAGACCCGGGTTCCTACACTATTCTCTGTACCATAGGCAAAACAAACATTTCACATGCCTTACTAGACTTAGGTATAGCCATAAGTGTTATGCCTACCTTTATTTATGAGAGCTTGGGTATTCATGCTTTAAAAGACACCAGTGTTGTGCTAGGTCTAGCTGATAGGACTGTGAGACACCCTAAGGGCTTTCTTGATGACATTCTTGTACAAGTGAAGGGTCTTGTGTTCCCAGCTGACTTCTATGTGCTAGACATTACTGATGAGATTAAAGCTAATAACACTTTGATTCTAGGAAGACCTTTCCTTAGAACAGCCCAAACCATAATTAATGTGAAAGATGGGGTTATTACCATGGGCTTTGGGGACCAACAGATTACCTTCAACATTTTTGATGCTATGAATCAAGGTTATGCAGATTGTTCTTACTTGGGTGTTCATTTGATTGATTGTGCTGTTCATGATATTGATGATTTGTATGAATCTGAGATGCATAAACATGATTGGTATGATGAGATTGTTGAGCATGATGATGTATTTACTTGTTTATCTACCCCTCATTCTTCTTCTTCTTGCTATATTATGGTGACGTGGTGTGTGTTAACTGTTTAGAAGTTGATTGCCTCATTTCCATCTCTCATGATTTTGATGAATCATCTTGTCTTAACCGTGATCCTGCTTTGAACATTATACTTGATGATAACCTTAAGAAAGGTGACTTTGTTAATTTTGCAGGTACTAATGATAAATGAGCTGTTAGACAAGCTACACCAGTAGCTTCTCCTCTGAGTGGTGCTGGAACATTAGAAGAAGCTAGCAACAAGCTTGCTACTGACATAGTTACTTCTAATCCCACTCTTCCTTGTGATTTACTTAATGTTTCTGTTGATAAGATTGATACCGATCCTTTTTTTTGTAGGTTATCTAAGAGTGGCACTGAGTTAGGAAGCGGAGGACATAAACATCATGATGAGCTCATATCTCCTTCCTCAAGCCACACGAACACACCACTTGTATTGAATGCACTTGACATAAAAGAATTGAACATAATTGTAAAAGAAGGCAAACCATTGCTTGGAAAAGCAAGTATATTTGGACACCAGCTTAGCTCTAAACACTTCAAAGAATTGAGGTACAAAAGTAAAGAAAGTGAAACTAGTTCAGGACAATGTTCCATTGTAAGTGTCTCTAATTCTGGGAAGTCACCATCTTGTATTCTTGTCCACTCTCCTAATTTCAACATGGATTCAATTGTAAGCCTCAACAGTCTAGGAAATGCTCTGTTCTATCTGCTGTAGTCCTTTCTACAAAAACAATAATCGATTCTTTTCAATTTATTCATTTTTCTGATTCTCAAGAATTGAAGAGATGGCAATTCACCAAGAGATGGAAGGAATTCACAATCACTGCAATTGCAAAGAGTAAGATCTACCAGAGAACCATATGAAGGGTGACTAATCCAACTTGGAAGCTTAGAACCACAACAACAAGATATTAACAAACTTTCAATTTCTAAAGGAGGTTGAAGATGCTCAAGGATTTTTTCCTCTTCCCCTTCCAAGCGAACTATTCTATCAGTCCACCAAAGCTCCAAACTTTCTAGATATTTCTTTTCTATCAAAGCAGCTTTCTTGGTTTCCTCAAAAGAAGAAATATTTTCAAGCCTCAAAATGCAAAATGATCCAGTAAGATTTGACATATTCTTCAGCTCCGATATTCTGTTCCCATGATCCCTGCTAACAATAAATGCTGACAGAGTTTGAAGTTTAGTTAACTGACCCATTCCTTTAGGCATGGAATGCAACGTCCTAAGAACATCGAGATCAAGATGCGTAAGATTGGTAAGCTTCCTCATATTTTTTGGCAAAGCCTTCAGATTGGAAAGCACTGAAGCTTCGAAATTTGCAAATCGTGAAGGGAATCCAGTGCCTCTGGCAAGTGTTTAATGGTGTATAGGAGAGATCAACATAGATCAACGACTTTAAATTCCCAATAGAGCTTGGAATGATAGACACAAGGCTTCCAGATAAATTCAAAGATCTTAAGTGCTCTAGCCACAAAAACAGATCACGAGGAATTTGCCCTATAGAGGGACTATGAGAAGGAAATATGAAGAGAGTGCGCAGATGCACAAATTTTTTTCATGGACTCAAAACTCATTTCATTTACACTATTACATTATACAGATAAATGCAATATCGTTTCCAGGACATGATCGAAATTATCATCGGAAACTGTGGAATAGCAGTTGTTTATGAGAGCGGATCGAAGACAGGAAGGGAAAGAGGATGAATCATTCACCTTGTACAGTACTCTTCTTGTGTTCGGAAAATCAACAATCTTATCCAATCTAGAGAAATCGATGACAAGTTTTGAGTATAAAGAACGGAAGATTTTGTCAGCAGCATCCTTTGCTCCGCGGGAATCTCCGTTTGGAGTCCCAACAACTCCTTTAGCAAGCCAAAGTGGAATCAGATCTCGTTTGGTGAACTCAGAACCCAAAGGGAATAGTGAACAGTGGGACACGAAAGGAGAAACGTCGACGGGGACGTGCGATTGGGTTCGCGAAAGTCTCTTCACCTCACGTCGCGAATCTAAAGGATTCACAGGCTCCAAGGTCATTGGTGGTGAATCGCGAGGTCTTTTGAGAGATTTTTTGGCCTTTGAATCCAATGCAGGAGAATCAACTGTTTCATTAGGTGACATTGAATCCAATCTAAGAAATCAGCAGGAAAATCAACTAAGAAAAGCAAGGTAGAAGAAAAGGGCAGTCCTGCTTTGGCTGCTCCACTAAGGGGTGTTTGGCATTCTCAAAACCGCGGTTTCAGAAGCACTTTTCTGCAAAATGAGATAATTTCTTTCACATATTTACTTCGTAATCAATAAAAACACTTTTAAAACCATGGTTTGGTTTCTATCCAAACACCTCCTAGGTCTTCTTCGCGGAGAGGAGTGCAGGATGAGAGCGCCTTTGCTCTCTCCTTCCCTTCAAGTCAAGCTTTACTTCAAGTCAAGCGTGGAGAAATTTTACTGATACAACTTAATTTATACTTTGTTAATATAATTTTTTATGCCTTAAATTTATTCTTATTTTAATTTTAGGCTCTCAAATTTTAAATTATAGAATTTAATGAGTAAAATAGTTTAAATGTTTATTAAATTATAAAGACTAATGTTTTAAATGGAAAGAAACTTGAAAAACCAAAATATATGATTTAAAACTTGATAAATCAAAACCAAAATAAAAATAAATTTGAAAGACCAAAAATTATATTAATCTTTTCAAGAAATATTTACATACTATTAGAGCATTTTGACCCAAAAATAAAAAAATACATACTACTCGAGCATCGCGTTATCATGCTTTTGCCAATAAAATTATCTCAAGTGTCCTTTTTTTTTTTTTAATCTCACATCCCACAAATTTTTCTTGATTATTTTTTTTCTTTTCATAATTCGTGATTTGTGGGATTATAAGAAAATTCACTTGGAACATTGTTTTTTTTTTGGGGGGGGGGGGGGGGACATGGATGAGGAGGCAGATAAAAACCGACAAACTCCTCATCCTGTACAACACTCATATTAGGTAGGGAATCTGCACACGTATTACCATCCCTAAACACATGATTGATCTGTAAAATAGAAAGATTTTTCAACTCTAACTGAATTAATCTTGGCAGGCTAGAATCAAAAATTTCACCAGCCTGTAATCGCCGTAATACGCTAACCATAGAAGAGGAGCCACTTTCAAGTATTAAAACCTGAAGTTGCTGTCTCTTGCAATTCGTAGACCTATTAGAGCGCCCCAGAGTTCCGCTGTCATCGCTAGACATTTACCCAGCTTTTTAGCAAAGCCCTTAATCCAATTTCCATCCTCTGTGCGAAACGGACCTCCACAACTAGCCACCCCCATCTGTCCTTTTGAAGCCCCATCCACACTCACCTTAACCCACCCAGTTTTGGTTCAGATCACTTAATGTAATACAAAGATTTTTTTGCTGTACAGTATCCATCATTCTGATACACTATAACAACATTTTTTTTTAATGAAACCTCTATATATTGTCTGAGTTCTTTTTGTTACAAGATTTCGACTAGTTTCTCAAAACCTTTGCTTAGAAAGGACTTTGTGGAAAATCAGTTTTGGTATTACTTGTTGGTTTCTATGGAATTGGAGAAATAACTGTCTTTCTCAAGGGGATTTTTGCATGCCTGGGGATCCGATTGCTAGTACACTGAGCTACATCCATATAGCTTGAACAAAGCTACAATCTCTCGACACATGCAATAAACGTTCTGTCAACCGGCAACATCTAAAGCAGGTACTTGAGCCACCCATCAAACGATTTCTTCTAGCAGTCATGCGTAATTGACCATGCGCAGCTATCCCTAGGAATATGTGAATCATTCTAGGTCCTTTCCACCTGCAAATCTCCCTCAGCTCCAAATCCCATCCTTCGACTGCTTCTCATTTCTCAATTTACAATACATTTCTCTAACCACGTAGTCTCTTTGTAAGGACTTCCCCTATTTACCACCAATTGACTTTTCACATTGCCCAAGACACGTCTGCTGGTTTTAACCCCAATCAAAATACATGCTAAATATACATGGTTGTACAATATATTATCTAATATAAATATTGTTAATTATTTAAATATACATTTTTTTGGCAACTATTTAAATATACATCTGATTGTTATAAATTCATGGAAAATTTACATAATGTTTGCTTTGTAGAGAAAACTAAATTAGACATATACGAATTGAGATGCAAAACTACTCCATCACCTAAAACCCCTTGAATTCATCTCCACCTCGCTCTCCTCAAAATGAGTATATGGATTGAAATCACCATCGATATACCTTTTATATATTGTTTATTTGATAGGCAAAGATTGATAGGTTATAATTTAGTTTCCACGAATCGTATCTAGATTGTCTTGGTGTTTATCTTCAACATGAATATTCTCGATCCTTCATGATTTTGGAATTCATCTTCACAAGCATGGACTTGATAAGTTTTAGAAATTCATGGGATAGAATTACTTAAAACACTTTTTCTCATTCAAGAGCATAAGACTTAGAATTTCTCGTAGCTTTTTTATGGAGTTGTTTATCTATAGAGGTAATGTAAAAATACAGACTCATTGTCTTCTACGTCCTACATTCTATGTGTTGACTATACATGATATTATTTCAAAGAAATAATAAGTTATTTGCTGACTTGAGTTGTAAAAAATAAAGATTAACTGTATGATTTTACATGTACATAAATATGCATACGTGTGAATATAAAATTGAAATACTCATTAATATGACTTTGGTATACATCATTGTAATGATAAGCAAACATCATCAACACGTCATAGGGCTCAACTTATGAGTAATTTTCTCTTCTCGATATATTAAATCGTATCATATATGTAAAATCATTTTGACACAAGCTTCATCGACATTCTGAATGCCAATTTGGCGACCTAATTTTGCTATCTGTATGGCTAAGTCTTTGCGCAGCATTAAATATTAAAAAAAAAAAAACATCAAAATGCATGGGGCATGTTCTCTTCTCAGCACCATACATGCTCATACTGAATCCAAACTTCTGCTTCCACATTCTGTCGCTTGATCTCTCAGATAGATGGGATAATCAAGTTTCGGATTTCAAAATTATTGCACAGAATCTAAAAAAGTTTATCACCATAAAAACTGTTAGTATAAAGACTATTTCAATATAATCAAAACAAATCAACAATGTCATAATCAAATTATAACATAAGGAGCTCAGGCAAAGAAATGAGGGGAAAAAAAGGGAACCTTCATAATCTTTGCATCATACCAAGAAAATCCTAAGAGCGCGTTTGGTAGGCTGGAAATTTGGTGAGGGAAATGGATCATGATTTTCCATAGGTTGTGCACGTTTGGCAAACAAATCTTCCTGGAACCTACTTTTTTTTTTTTTTTTACGGCGGCGTTATATTTTCCAGCCTATAAGGGAGAATGGGTTCCTGCCCATTTTGGTGCGAACTGTTTTTCAGTCGTGCACGGAAAAAGTGACAAAGACCACTTCAGCCTTCAAATTTGAATAAAATGCTGGGCATATGGTTCGTAACCTCCACGAAAAGTATGAAAGCTGGTTATATCCCTTTCAAAGCACCATCAAATCGGATATATAAATATGTGTGTGTGTATAAAGACCTCAATCACACTTCTCTTTAATACGATGTAAAGGTCCAGTTCCTTCCCCTTTTATTTTTATGTTAGAGGCATATTAACGGGAAACATAGATACTCTGGGCGTTTTAGTTTTCAGTCCAAGTTATTAATTATTGTAAAACGCATACAGCTCCCAAACTTGCATTTTGCAGTGTTGTCCTACATTAAATCGAATATATATATATATATATATATATATATATAGCGGCGTACTGCTTCATTATTAATACCAAAATGGTACAGATAGTAACCAAAGAACTTGTTCTAAGATATATTTATGGTGCTGATTTTTTTTTGTTTGCTCTGTTTTTAGTTAAAAAAACAGAGGTGAACAGAGGTAAACAAATTTGAATTTGATGGGACGATATTCGAACTTGCTGCAGAAAATGTGAATTTGCTCATGTGATGATCAAGTTCGTTGCTATATAAAATGCAAGTTTGTTTGAGCAAATTCAAATGTGATGCAAGTAAATTTGATTTTTTTAACAAATTCAAATTTAATTTCAGAAAATTTGAATCTGTTGCATCAAATTCAAAAATCAAAATTTGGTTGTTATTTTTTTTTTATTTACTAAAGTTTAAATTTCACCAGACATAAATAAAATTATTTTTTGAATGGGTCTTATTGCATTACAAACTAGGTTTAGTGACTTTTATAATATTTCATTTGCCTTATCTGTATTTAAATTAAGAAATATATTCTTAGTTAATAAAATAATTGGGATGTTGGCTAGCTATTCTAGAAATTTTGGTTTAATGAAGCCCCGTCTTCCTGGATTGCTCCAATCATGAGTGAGAGGAGGCAATTTGTGATTCATAGATCCAAAATTATATTGCATCTTACGATTTAAAGAGAAAATAAGAAGTAGCTTAGAATATATTATATAAATTTTGTCTATAAAATAAAAAAGGCTCAACTCATAAATATAAACAACAAACTGAAAAAAAATTCCCATTCTCATAATACAAAATCAAGATATATAATCTATTTTGTGTAATATTTATATTTTTTTCAATATCCAAATTGAGTATTTTGTTCTCTTTAATATATTTTATTTAATTATTTTTTAATAATTTCATAGCTTTAATATTTATATTTAATTTACACTTTACTATAATTTAATTTATTCATTTATTGTTTTTGAATTATTGAATTTTTTAATAATATTATTATTCTATCAGTTAAAATTTTTTACTTAGGAATATGATATTCTTTTGATTAAGGATAATATGGTAAATTGCATAATTTTCTAACTTATTTTCATCCAACCAAACATAAAATTTTTTTACTAAATCTATTCATGTGATTACCAAACACGCTATCGCTCAAAAATTTTCTATCCTATTCCATTCTATTCTTTTTCATTTCTTTCCATTCCAACCAATTCTTCTTACCAAATAAGCTCTTGCTTTTCTGAGTCTGACAATTTAATTACTAGTTACAGTATTGAATCAAAACGAAACATCAACATTTGTTTGGAATTATATTTCTTTCAAAAAATGGGCCATATACTTGGGAAAAATTTAACTTCATGTGCGGAGGTTTTACCATAACATTTGCATGACTCTACTTGGTTGAATTAAGATACAAGAGATTATATATATCACTTTGCTTATGACTTGCCAATTCTACCTCTCTCAAAAAATACCCACCGTATCCAAACCAAAAAAAAAAAAAACCACAAATAAACTAGAAGTTGCTATATATCCAAATAAAATTGAAATCAGTGGTTACAAAGGCTTGAAGCAAATATAAAACCAAAATACTCATTCATATACCTTTGGTATTCCATTAATTTGATCAGCAAATATTGACATGTCATAAGGCTCCAAGTAAGTATTTTTCTCCTCTTGATATTTATCATTATCATAAGATTCCTAAGACTTCATTGTCGTTTTGCCCAAAAAAAAAAACTTCATTGTCAACTGTACAAAGAGAAAATAAATACCAATACAATCAATTGATTTTGTTAAATCTATCAAACTAAATAGAAAAAAAAAAAGAGAAAACATAGACCAAACACAGATTTAAAGCCAAACAAAACAAAGTCCTACTTGACCCAGTCATTATTTCCGAATCCCAAAACCAAATAGTATCCAAAATTAGTCAAAACAAATAACAAAATGACGCCACCTTAATTTGGATAAGGAAGACCTTAGATCGCAACCACAGCCATTATAAAGATTGAGATTGCGATTCAGAGAGTCACCTAGTTGATGCAACAACACTTACTAAGGAAAAAAAAAAAAATTAAGAACATACTCATCAGATCTGTGCAAAAGATGGCAAAGGAACACCCAAATCATTGATATCAAATCTGCATCACGAGCTTACCAACGACAAAGCATTTCACGCACGATCTAAATAAAATTTCAATAATTAATTAATTTAACAAAAACATGCCTTTCGATTACAACTCTATAAGGCCTATGCTCTCACCTAGAGACTATACATGAAAGAGCTATTGAGATCCTCACAAAAGGAGAGAACAAAAAGGAACTTTGCGCTTTCTAATACATCAATCAAGAGCTATTTAATGTTCTTGTCATTGAGGTAGAGTAACTGAGAAGCGTCAGCCAAAAACACAAGCCAAGGAACAAATGCTCACACAAAAGGAGAGAAAGAAAAGGGGGATCGGCTCTAACACAAAGGGATTTGATCAATGATACAAATAGAGCTCCACAAACAATGAATCTTAAACTAAAACTTATTCTTACAATCTTGGCATTTGTCTTCCATTATATTGTTATTCGCGAAGTTTGGTAAAAGTTATAATAAAGATGAATATTAAGAAGACAAAATATGATAAAATATTCCAGCATGTCTTCATCTATGCCTATGAAATTAACATAATATTCTTTTAGTTTTAAATATAACACCTACTTTATAGTAATAAAATAGGTCTTATATTTAAAATTGGAAGTGTCAAAAAGTGCATTAATAAATACTTAAATTTCATATCCGTTGATATTTTTTTTTGCCTGAATATCCGTTGATATATATATTTATATATAACATTTATAACAACCCTTAATTCTTAAGTTCAAGTTACTTTGGTTGGCATATTATTTCTTTAAAATATTATCAGATAAACTCAACAGATAAACCACCTCTATGCTATATGAATGCTTCAATACTCTCTCTGATTCGAAGTGCAAGTAACTTCTAACTAAATGGTCACATGTATCAATAAAAATAATTAAATACAATAAATTTATCATAAAATTCAAGTGATTTATAATATTATTCTTAATTAAAAACCAGAGTAATACCAGACTAGGTGGCTTGACTAGACCCGCTAATGATTTGGTTTGAATAATATTTTTGTTTTAATAATTCAGCTTTGTTGGACTGAAATTGAACCCAGATATTTGAGTCAAAAATCAGAATCTGAGCAAAAATCAAAATGGATTTCAGAGAACCGAACTAAATTTCGCTTGATGACAAAAATGCTAAAAAAATTTGAAAAAGCTTTCAAAAATGAAAAAATCGAAACTCTCATAAATCCAGTATATTTTAAATTATTTGTAAAGTAACATGGCCATCAAAATAACCATTGATATACTTCCTACATTTTACCTGTTGAGATTACATGATATTATTTCTAAGAAATAATACATTAACCAGAGTTAGTTGCTTACTTGAGTCGTAAGAAGGTTTAATTCTATGGCTTGAATATATATATATATATATATAAATGAATATAGAATTGAAATACTCATTAATGTAACTTTGGTATATCATTGGTCTGATAAGCAAATATCAAAATGCCATAACACTCAACATAGGTATTTTTCTCCTCTTGCTGTAATAAATAGCATCATATGGAAAATTATTTTAAGGTTCCTCAACATTCTGAATGTCAGTTTGCTGTCTCTCTTCTATTATGTCACCACAATCAGCAGATGGGGAAGATAAGAGTGAAGACAGAATAAGGAGCAAAACTTTGTACAATCTGTACTGTTAAGTCCTTGCAGAACATTAAAAAAAGAGAAAGTTATTAACCTCATTCTGCTATCTGTATGGTTAAGCCCTTGCACAGCATTAAATATTGACAAAAACATCAAAATGCCGGAGGAAATTCTCTTTTCAACCCTATGCGCACTCAGATCACCAAATCCAAACTTTTCTTTACGCACTCTGCCATGCTCGTGAATGGATGGGATGATCAAGTTTCCGATTTCAAAATTATAACGCACGATTTAGAAAACATTATCGCCACAAAATCTATCAAAGACTGTTCCAATATAATTAAAAAAAATCAATATCATAATCATATTATTATATGAGGAGGCTCACGCAAAGGGGGCAAAAAAAAACTTCATAATCTTTAGACTAAGAAAATCCAATTACTTTTTCGAGTTTGACAATTCAATTACTAGCTACGACATTAAATTAAATGAACCATCTACAATTTTGGCTTTCTTTCCAAAAAAAAAAAAAAAATAGGGAGCTTAAGAAAGAATACTTTCATGAATGTCAATGGCTACATATTTGGGGAAATTTAACTTGATATTTGAAGGTTTTATCATAACATTTGCACGACTCGACTTGGTCGAAGTAAGATACGAGAGATTATATATGATCTTAGTTATAACCTACTAATTCCATCTCTGTCAAAAGATATCCACCGTATCCACACAAAAAGAAAATCACAAATCAACTAGAATTTGCAATATATCTAAACAAAAATGAAATTAATTAATGGTCGCCAAGGCTTAGCATTCTATTGATCTGATAAGCCAATATAGACATGTTATAAGGCTCCAAGTAAGTATTTTTATCCTCTTGATCTTCATCATAATAACCTTTGTGAGACTTCAGTGCCAACTATATAAAGAAAGGCAAATAAATAACACAATCAATTGATTTTTTTTTATATCTATCAAACTAAATAGAAGAGAAGATAAATTCCTAATGCAAAAACCAAATGAGACCCGAGATTATTCAAATCAAACAGCAAAAGGACAGCATTGTAATTTGAATAAGAAAGATTTTAGATCCCAGCTACGACCACTACAAAGATTGAGATTGCAATATATGGAGCTACTCAATTGACGCAACAACACTTATCACAAAAATTTAAGAACACACCCATGAGATCTATGCAAAAGATAGCTTGACCATGAACCATTTTTGACGAGTGAACACCCAAATTATCGACGTCAAATTCGCACCACAAGCTTACCAACATAAGCATTTCATACACGATCTAAATAAACTTGTAATACTTAATGAGTTTAACAAAAACATACCTTTCTAATATAATTATATAAAGCCAGATCTAAAGAGTTTACCATTAGTTTGCGAGTCTAAGAGATGATGATTCCTCCATTAACATCACTGCCTATAGTCTCACCTCGAGCTTACTCATGAGAGAGCAGCTAAGATCCACAAAACATAAACAAAAGCAAAGGAATCTGTTCCAAAAAAAGAGAGCGAAAAGCAACTTTGTGCTTTCTAGTACAATCAATTGATTCAATATTCTTGTAACTGAGGGAGAGTAGTTGAGGACCACCAACCAAAAACACAAACCAAGAAACAAATACTCATAGGAAAGGAGAGAAAGAAAAGGGGGATCGGCTCTAACACAAAGGAATTTGATCAATGAGTTATAAATAGAGCTCTACAACCAATGTGCGGCGCAGATGCGGCATGCTAGGGGCAGAGATCAATTTAGGGTTAGGTTTTTTTCGGAATGATTTTTAATGAAATAAGTGCGTGTAATTTAAACATTTTCAATACATCAGTTATCTAATTATGTACCATCCCCTTTGCTTATGTTGAGTGCTAGTAGATACAAATGTATAAGGAATTACCGTAGTTGCGTAATGACATTCAATGTAGGAAAACATTGAATACATATTTCATTTTTATTTATGTTCTATTATTTTTTCTCAACATCAATTCTTTTACATCTAAAAATTTCTATATACATTCTAAAAAAATACTAAATGTAGAAAGACATTGAACATATATTGAAGCATTGAATTCACTGAAAAAAACATTGATTAGCGAAAGAATTTGGAACAAAATTTTTTTTGTCACTAATTGGCTTAGCAACAAAATTTCAATTCCATCTTCTAATTAGCAATAGATTAGTGACAGAATTATTCCGTTGCTAATTACCAACAAAATATTGGCTTACCAATGGATTTTTTGATGGAATTTAGTGACAGTATAGAATTTCATGACTAATCTGTTACTAATAAGAGCAAGAAAAAAAATTTTATCGCTAATCCGTCGGTAAATTATATAGCGACAGAATTTCTATTGCTAATCCATTAGAAATTAGTGATGAAATAATTTTTGATAGCTAACTCCACCATGAATGAGCTGTTTTTATTTGTTTGTAGTGGAGTCTCAAACTAAAACTTACTCTTACAATTTTGGTATCTGTTTCCTACTATATTGTTATTCGTGCAGTTTGATAAAAATTACAATAAAAATAAATATTAAGGAGATAAAATATTGTAAACTATTATGTCGTGTGTCCATATATTCCTATGAAAGTAACGCCATATCAAAAAGTACATTAATCAATACTTAAATTCCTTATCCTTTGATGCACACACATTTATAATACTCCTCCGGTCCTAATATAAGACCATTATACGTACTAGTATAAGGGTCTTATATTTAGAATCAGAAGAGTAACTCTTAATTCTTATTAAGTGCAAATTACTTTGATTGGCATGTCATTCTCCTGAAATATTTTCATATAAACCCAATAGATAAACCACCTGTGTTACGTGAATGAATGCTTCAATACTCCCTCTCATTCGAAATATAAGTCATTTCTAACTAAGTTAGATGAACACAAATATTAACAAAAATAATTAAAAACATTAAATTTATCATAAAATCCAAATGATTGACAATATTATCCTCATTAGTTATACTAAACTGCAACATCATATTAATTTATATTCTTCTTCATTGCTTTAAATATGGGCAATTATGAGATAAAATAATTAATACTCCTTAAAACTATGATATACCTTAAGAAAAGAACCAAGAACATTTTCTAAAAGATGCTCTATATATTGGACTAGAGAGAGTACATAATAACTTGGCTTCATGAATTGGGAGGAAAATAATATATAATGGTTTATGAAAGTCATAAAAGTTTCTTTGAATTTTGGAAGATAAAAAACATCTAGAAAACAATCAATAATTAAAGTCATACAAGACCAGACAGTGCAACTATAATTACTAACGATTTGGCTTGGATAATAAAGTTGCTTTAATGATTAAGCCTGATTGGACTAGAGTTGAGCTGCCATATTTGAGCCAGAACACATAATTAGAACAAGAACTAGAATGGATTTTAGAAACCCAAACTAGTTTTGGCTTAAGTAGAAACGTGCTGAAAAATTGAGAAATCTTTAAATTATATATATATATATATATATATATATATATATAGTCTAAACCCATAAACCCAATATATTATCAAATTTTTTGCAGTGTAACACCTCGCCTTCTCAGACAAAGGCCAAAAAGAATCAAGTTTGGTTATGAGCTAAATAAAATGCAAAAAACAAAGGGGACAACTTTTGAGGTTAGACTCTAGCTGAGTCAAAAGCATAATTTCAAAAATTTTTGAGCTGTATGAAGAGTAATTTGTAAAAATATGCCAAAAATTTTGGAACTGTTACCTGAAAAGTATGAAAAAAAGATAAAAATACTTGAACAATATTTGAGGCTTAGAAGAAATGAAAATGAAGAAAATATCTATAAAAAAACAAAAAGAATATTTGTTTATTTTGCACAATTTCGATTAATTAACCGACAATGAGTGCAACTTAATTACGAAAATATTAGGAGACATCAAATAATTGGAAACAAAGTTGAAAAAATTATTGTGGAATTTTTTATGAATTTTTGAAATTGGTTTTGTGCCTCAGAAATAAAAATTCTGGTTTTGATAAATATTTTAAGTGAATTTACTTCAAAACCAGAGCAATTACACAAAATATTATATTAAGAAACATTATTAAATCGAATTGATAAATGGATTTAAGACCACATAAGCTCTTAGTTCTCCTAATTTCCTCCCTGTCTTGGCTGAAGCAAGGGAAAAAGAGGGAGTGACAAAAAGTGAGGGAGAAAAGGAAGCGGAAAAAGAAGAGGAGAACAAGAAAGAGGGGAAGATCAAATTGCAAGAGGTAATATCTTGTTCTAAATTCATCATACTCTTTAGTTTTTCCATCCAAGATCATTTGTGGTTCCTAAATATCTCTTGATGGCATGTTTAGCGAGACGGAGTTAGATCATTAGAACTTAAAATAGAGTTTTTCTTCCTTTTTTTTTTGCCAAAAAATCCCTTATGTTTCTCCCTTGGCTATTCAGTAGGAGGAATGTAATTTTTTAATTGGAGTTTAAAAATAAAAATTAATTTTACATGTAAAAATTATGGGGGATAGCACGTGGGGTTTATTTTATAATAAATAAGAGTAAAATTCAAAATTAGGATTAGAAAAGGTTTAACAGGAGGTTTAATTTATGTTGCCCTAATTTATATATCGCAGTTTTTTTTTCCAGTTAGATTATAACATGAAATATGCCATATTATGTGTAGGCTTTGGAATTTATATTACAAAGTGCCCATAAAAATTCAAGAGACAAATGAAGAAAAGCACAAGTATTTAAGTAATGGAGAAATAGCAAAGTTTGTTAACTTCAATGCTAATGTTGTGTTGGTTGCTATGCATGTTTGATTTGCCATGATTACTCGAATTAAAGTTTATGATTGAACATTTAAATCCTTGCTTGTTACAATCTTTTTTTAACTACATCTTCCAATTTTTGGCTATATGAGATTGAAGGGTAATATTTTATCATTATTCTTCGGATCGGACCACTAAATTTAGCGGATGATATGAGAAAAATCAAATGTTAGTTAAATCAATATCAAAACTTTAGTTAAATCAATATCCAAACTTCTTTCCAATCGACATGAATGAATGAATGAATAAATAAACTGATAGAATCTTTATTACATATTACACTAGTACTCAGCAAATCCCAATTGTACTATTCATTTGGTAACCTTTTCTTTCCAGCCGAAAATTTGGTAACTTTACTAATTTTTGGTAAAAATTGCAAAATAATAATTAATTCTAAAAAAATTAAAATAAAACAGTTCACGTATATATTCGAAGCTCTTAGTGTACTCTACGGAGCAAAAATACAGCTTGAAGCTGTTCCATGGCCAATCATTCTAGAACAACCGCAGATGTACTTCTCATTGCGCTTTCATATTATTTACTGTAACTTTAGAAACTCATCCTTCAATTTACACATTTAATTTTAGTAAAATAGGGCTTGTTTTAAAGTTTTACATGTGTACTATTCAATTGGGAATTTCTCATGGTCATACAATGTTATTTGCCCTGTTTTTACTTCATTCAAATATTAGTACTCATTAATGGTGTTTTTATTACAAAAAATTGGATTTTCAGCGACAACTTTCAACGGCGACAAAAAAAGTCGCTGCTGAAACTATAACTTTCAGCGGCGACACTTGTTGTCGCCACTAAAAATGATAGTAATGGCGGTGACAACCTATTGTCGCTGCTGTAGATGTAGCTTTCAGCGGCGATAAAGCCTGTAGCCGCTGAAAGTGTAAAGTTTCAGCGGCGACAACGATTGTCGCCACTGGATGTCTTTTTAGCGTTGACACAATATCGCTGCTGAAAGGTGTATCGGCAGCGACTGATATTGTCGCTGCTGATACCCCTTTCAGCGGCGACTGATATGTTGCCACCGAATCATGCTTGCAGCGGCGACAATATGATACACCCTTTTAGCAGTGACATTTCGTCACCACTGAATCACGCTTTCAGTGGCGACATGATTTGTTGTCGCTGAAAGTTTTTTCACATTTTTATAACCATTTTTAATTTTTTGTGTAAAAATTTTATATTATAATCTTTTATTTGTTTAAGTAACTTTGATAATTATTGTTTTTTCATGTATTGTTGTGTTAGAGAGAGACTAAAAGAAGGATAATGTGGTGTTTGAGAGAGAAAGGGAGAGGAAGAGAGTTTAGAGTGTGTATAAAACACATATACTATAATTAAATTGTTTGAGAGATGGAATTAGAAAGGTATGTACATAGGAGAGAAATGAAGCGGAGGCATGTATGAGAAAGTATGTAAGTTTGAGTGATGGAGAAAGTAGTGAAAGATAGAATGTGTGTGAGAGGTAAATGTAAATATAATTGGAAAATAGATAAAGTGTGTGAGAGAGAAGGACATTATAATTGAAAGAGATAACATAATTAAATATATGAGGGAGATTATTATAATTAAATTTTTGTGAGCACACTTAATTGACATAATGATATTGATTATGAACATATGTATGAGAGGATTGAAAATAAAGTTATTGAAGGAGATAATATAATTAATTAAAATATATGTGAGAGATATAGTTAATAAAATAATGTATGTAGTTAATTAAATATTACTACTATTTATATTTTTTATTTAAAATGTGATTAATCTAATATACTTATGAAATCTTGCAATACCCACTAATGCCTAAATGAGTCGGGTTGCAGATCCATACTTTGTTTGTTATCTAAATTTACTTTAATTTTATGCCTCCCTTTGTTTCTTGCATCAGTTTCTTATGTAATTATTGTGGGTTATTAATAATAATTCAATCCATTCAACTTTATACAAATCTAATATTTTTTACGGCTATACGTTATATATATACTTTCTGCCGCAACGGTTTCATCAAAGTTTGCTAGCTTAATTGGCTGCCTATGCTTGTTTTAATCTTGAAGTCTACTGTTCGAATCTGACAAATGGGCAAATTATTCTTCACACGTTCATTTTGGCTAAAAACGTTTAAAAATGACCAAACCAATGAACTCCTGGTTGGAACAAAAAAGGTTAAAAAAAAGCCCAAACTAATCATCTCCTGATTCGAACGCATGACCTGGTAAAAGCCGCCCCCCTTGCCGGTGAAGCCACACGCTTTGGTGAGTTTGTTGGATTATTTCGTTATATAAACTTTGTTATTTTGAAACCTAAAACAATTCGTTTAACCCACCCCATCCCCTGAAAATTTCATTTGCCTCATTTTTCCCTCCGTGCACTCACTGGCCAGCGCCGCGCAGCAAGGGAAGTAAAGTCAGCGAATCAGGTAAAACATCACAAAGTCTCGTCTTTTTCATTTCTTCTTCTCACTTCAAGCAAGGGAACTAAACTCTTCTTCTTCTTTTTGGTTACAGAAGGCCAAGCCAAAGCTTGAGAAAAGACAAAAGTCAAAGCTAGCAAAGCTTGTTCTGCGTTTTCAGATTTGCGTTTTTCACTAGTTTGCTGTGATTGATTATGTGAGTTCCGTTATCTCCTCTTGTTCTTTTTATTCATTGAGAGTTACGTTGTAGTGTTTTTTTTTTTTTTAAATTCCCTTTCAGATTTAATATAATCTGCAGATAATCAATGAAAAATTACCTTTAGACTAAAATCCTCCTAGAAAAGATCTTTCCCACGGGCAGAGAAAGCTTTGCAAACCACAAAAAAATTTGAACTTGGCTACTTATAAATACCACTGATGCTAATTCCAACAACTCATTTTATGAAGAGCAACCTGTGGCCAGTACAAGTAATTCTAACAGTCACAATACTATTTGGAGGTATCTGTGGTTTATCTAATTTGTATGGTTTCAAACTTAGTTCTGCAGATGGTCATCGGTGAAAATTTGAAACCAAGCAAGAATGTGTCGCTATCTAATGAAATAAATCTTAATGCCCCTGAAATTTTCGCTAACCTGCATGTGAGGTCGGACTACAAATTAGATAAGACAGCTTAGTAGTGTAATGTGTTGGGGGGTCGCTGTCTCTGAATTTTAAAAGTGATACTTCAACTGCGTTTCAATGAGAGTTTGGTGCTGGTCTATCCTTTCAATGCTTAAAACGTTGGTTAGTGTTAATTGGCTGGCACAGAAATTTTGATGTTGTAGCCATGTGATGTGATGAGAGATTAATGAAGTTCACTGTAATATATGTTTAAATCATAAGACCTGGTTACGTTTTGGGGTGAGAAGATATGAGCACGATGATATCCTGTCGTACCAGCTTTGATGTGATTGTTTAAACATGTTCATAAATGCATGTTCCATTTGGGTTATAACTGCAAGTGTACAATGCCCTTCTTAAATGGTATGTGTCTTCTGGGCATTGCTTGAAAATACTTCTATGTATATGGAAAATGGAGTACGGTTTAGTTGGGAGGTCTCTTAATAATTGTTCATGAGAATGGAATTTACTTGTGAATGTGTTTGGCTTAATTATATTTTTTCAAAGTTCATTGTGACTGTCATTCAAAGCCATTTAAAATATAAAATAGAGTCATGTATTGTAGGCAATCTTATTTGATTATATGTTTGATTGATGAAGAGCCTTATCAACAATTGGTGATTGACTTAAATGCAAGTCTTATACAACATGATATCTTTATTGACTTGTGTGGAGAAGATGTACAACCCCAAACCTTCATTCAAGTAGGAGAACCATCACAAAGAAATAATATTCATACTATGGAGATTGGATTTATTAATGATAGTGAATCTAATTCACTAGTTCATGAAATAGTGATGAAGAAGATGTGTTTGATGGTGATGATAGTGATACTGAAGAAGAAAGTGACATAGAAGATAAAATAGAAGATAATGATACAAGTGATAGTACTACGGAGGACTCAACAGAATGAAACTCCAATCCTTATAAATGGTAGTTTTTAGTAATATATTCTTAACAAGTTAGATTTTGTAATTTTTGTTAATATGTACTATTTTCTTAAAGAGTAGTTTGTATTATCATAGAAAATAATTATTTTGTTCATTATTGCAGGATATGTCAGGGCTAAAGAGAGGACGAGGTGGGAGAAGCTCTTCCTTCACACGACATGGCAGCACAAGTAATGGAGGTAATAACTCTACCCCTGCAATTAGACATATCATTTCACCTCAATCATTACAAGCACAATTTGAGGAATTGCCTGCCGACTCTCCCCCTACTCAAAACAGTAGTACAGGTAAATTTTTTTTTACTTTTATATAATACAAGTAACTAATCAACATCACATGCTTTTGACTGTATTATTTTTTCACTTGAATGATAGGCTCTTCTAATATAATTAAGAAAGGTAAAAGAGTTTATAAGTCACTCAATGTGGACTTAATGACTAAATTTGGAGCAAAGATTCAGCTTACTTTTACTGATGACATGACAAGAGTAGTAGGGCCAGGAGCAAGAGAGTTAGCTAATTATTGTGGTTATGTTGTTAGAACCATAATATCTTTGAAGGATTGTGCTGAATGGAAGAATGTTTACACAAATTATATTGATGTCATGATTCTAAAAGTGAAGGTACAATTTATGTTTAGTAAATATATATCTTACTTTATTTATGCTTTCAAGACAAGTACTAATGTTGATGTTGATTTTTATTTTAGGAAAAATTTCAACCTGCTGTTACAACAAATGAAGAAAAGTTTCAAAAAATGATAGTGACTACATTACAAAATGCTTTCAGAAATTGGAAGACCAACTTGCATACCCACTATAAGAAATTTGACACTGATGAAGAAAGGTTGGCAAATCCACCTCAAAGTGTAAGTTTTGAAGATTGGAAGTGGTTATTGACATATTTTCAATCAGATCCATTTAAGGTATCTTACTAAATACTAACCATTTAAATAGATAATATAGTTATATTATTCAATATACTTAGTAGTTACTCAAATTTGATCTAGAATAAAAGTGCTAGAAACACACAAAACCGAGGAAAACAAGTGACAAAGCATACATGTGGTCCCCGATCATTTGCAGAGGTTGAGTTCTCTGTAGTAAGTTGCTGAACACTTGACTTTGTTTTTCTTATCAATTTTTTCATTTTCCAAGATTTGTTATTTTTGTATATTATGTTTTATAGAGAGACCCCACCACTGGACAACCTGTGCTCCCAGATCAGGTTTGGGAGATAACACATACTAGGAAGACTGTAGATGGCCAGTTAGAGTGGGCAGATCCACAATCTGAAGAGATTTGTGTATATGTTATATTTATCTTTTATGTTTAATTAAATAACTTTATTTTTTTCATTAATTTTATTTGTAATTTGAAATTATAGGATTGCATGCATGAGCTCGTTCAGCAGCAATCCTTAGAGAGTGATACTCGAATGACCTCTAATGAGATATTGACAGCTGTTCTTGGTGAGAGGTCAGGATATGTTAGAGGAAAAGGTTATGAAATAGAGCCTCGAAGGAAGAGACCTCACACTCAATCTAGTGATTCGCTTGAGAATGTGCGCACCCAATTGTATGAAGAGTTTGAAAGAAGATTTCAAGAGGAGCGAGAGAAAATGGAAGCAAATCTTGTAGCAGAGCGAGAAAAGATGAAAGCAGAACGTGCAGCAGAGCGAGAAAAAATGGAAGCAGAACGTGCAGCAGAGCGAGCAAAGATGGAAGCAAAGCGCACACAACTTGAACAAAGGATGGAGCAATTGATGGAGCAGAGAATACAAGCTCAGTTCACTGCTTTTATGCAAAAGATGCAATTAAATGCTCTTGTGGATACTCTTGCTTCTAACGTCCCTAGTATTGATCCTTCTAAGTAATTTTTTTTTCCATTATATAATGTATCTTTTAATTGAACAATTTTTATTTTTGTTAAGGACATAAAAAACACTTTGATGGTTGTAAATCGTATTATTTAATATATTATATTTGTAAGTTAATTACTTTATTTTTATTAAAATTTACAATCATATTTATCAGAAATTTAAATAAAAAAATTGTACAATAAATATATCTTAGTATATGAAAATGGTAATTGGCGGTGACATTTTGTCGCCGCTGAAAAGGTAATAGGCGGCGACATATACAGTCGTCGCCGATTGAGGTTTCAACGGCGACGTATATTGTCGCCACTGATTGTGCTTTTAGTTGTGATGTATATTGTCGCCACTGAATCCTCAATCAATGGTGATATTAGACGCCGCCAATTCTTATGTTTTAGTGGCGACGTTACTATATGGCAAAGTCATCATCTTTCAGTGGCGACTGTCGGTTGCTGCTGAAACTAAAGTCGCTACTGAAAATGGGCTTTCAGTGGCGACTTTATTATGTCGCCGCTGATAAGTTTCAACCATGGCCGCTACAGCAACGACCTGATGGTGACAAAATGTGGCTACTGAAATTTTTCAGCGGCGACTTTTTGACTTCAGCGGTGACAAAAAAGTCAAATTTTTTGTAGTGTTTATCCTACTGCACCATAATTTGCATCCTTTAAATACTAATTGCACACATATATGTTCTTGCATATACCTATCCTTAATAGCATGCTTGGTTATTGACTTACACGATATACAAAAGGAAATAAGTCATGCACATTTACACATCGATCGTAACCCAATCATATTAGACATACAAGTTTTCTTCAAAATATATAGCAAAGCATACAGTCTTTCATGCTGCACCTTCAACCTCCTAGCCTTCGTTCTAGGGAGAAACCGGTCTTCATTGTGGAAGAAGAGTGGGATTTCAAAGAAATCTCTATAGCAAGAGTTACTAGCAAACGCATTAACATTATAAACTAACAGTGACATTCGAAATTACTTTACAACCATGCGTTATCTTTCAGGATATAATATTTTGTTTAATTTGGAATTTTAATAATAAAAAAGCGGACAACTTTGAAAGAATTGGTACAAACAAGACCCACTTACAAGTTACAATCAACTTTGTCGGTTTCCTATTCTCATTACAGCCAATATTGGATTTCCCAAACGCCAAAGCTTCGAATGAACCCATATTGTTCCATCTTTTGTATGGTTTTCCATTCGCCCTTTTCTTTCTCATATGCTCCTCAATAAATCTATGCATTGCTTCCATCTTAGAGCATCCTCTAAGCATGTGTTCATACTCTGCAAGAAAAATGTTGTCAACGTGCGTGGCAACATCTACGTCATTCTTTTCCTTCATTCTTAATTGTCCATTATTTCAGGTCGCTGCCCATTTAACAATGACAGACAAAGAGAAAAGGCAAGGGAGAGCAGCATTCAAGAAAATTTACATAATGTCTGCTTTGTAGGGAAGTATGGTAAAAGTTAGACTAATATGCATTGAGATGCAAAAGTACTCCGTTGCCTAAAACCGCTTGAATTCATCTTCACATCATCCTCAGCAAAATGGATATATGGAATGACATAACCATTGGTATACCGCTTGTATATTGTTTATGTGCCAGGCAAATATTAATAAGCTATGGCTTAGTTTCAATGAAGCATATCTAGATTGTCTTGATATTTATCTTCAACATGAACTTTCTTGGGACTTCATGATTTTAGTATTCATCTTCACGAGCATGCACCTGATAATGCTTGGAAATCCATGGGATATAATTGCTTGAACCACTTTTTCTCAATCAGGAGAAAGATATAGAATTTATACTAGTTTTATTGTCTCCGTATATCTGTGAAGTACAAACCAAAATATAAAGAGTCATTGTCTTCTACATCCTACATTCTATTTGTTGAGTTTATATTATATTATTTCAAGGAAATAATATATCAATAAGCCTTATTTCTTGATTTAAGTAGTACAAAGGTTTAACTGTATGATTATATATATATATATATATATATTATAAATGAATACAGAATTGAAATATTCGTTCATATACCTTTGAATCATTTGATATATCATTGATCTGATAACCAAATATCAACATACCACAAGGCTCAACATAAGTATTTTTCTCCTCTTGATATGATAAATAGTACTGTATGTAAAATTATTTTGAGGTTCCTAGACATTCTGAATGTCACTTTGTCTCACTTCATTTTTGTCACCACCATCTGCAAAAGGGGAAGATAAGAGTGAGGAAATAACAAGGGAACAAAACTTCATGCTAGAGGGAGAGAGAAAAAGAAAGTTCTTGACCTGATTCTGCTATTTGTATGTTGAAATCCTTGCACAGCATTAAAGGCTGACCAAAAAAAAAATATTGCAGGAGGCAAGTTCTCTTTTTAACCCTCTATAGACTTGGATCACCAAATCCAAATTTTCTTTCCACATGCTGCTGCGCTCCTGAATGGAGGGAATGATTAAGTTTTCAATCCCAACATTATTGCATAGGATCTAAAAAAGTTTATCATCATAAAAAACTGTTAGTATGACTGTTTCAATATAATTAAAACAAATCAATATCATAATCATATTATTACATGAGGATCTCAGGGAAAGAAATGATAAAAGAACCTTCATAATCTTTAGATCATACCAAGAAAATCCAGTTTCTTTTCTTAGTTGGACAATTTAATTACTAGTTACATTATTGAATCAAAATGAAACATCTACATTTGTAGGGAAATATATTTCGTAAAAAAAATAAGCTTTAGGAGAAAGAATACTTTCATGAAGGTTTTACCATAACATTTGCGAGGCTCTACTTGGTTGAATTAGGACCCAAGAATATATGACCTTGCTTATGACCTACCAATTCTACTTCTCCCAAAAGATACCACCATATCCACCAAAAAATATTGCGCACAAATCAATAAAAACTTGCAATATATCTAAACAAAAAATGAAATCAATGGTCGCCAAGGCTCAATGTCAACAAATATAGAATTGAAATACTCATTATTTTATATACCTTTGGTATTCCATTGGTCTGATCAACAAACATAGACACTCCGTAAGGCTCCAAGTAAAAATTTTTCCCCTCTTGATCTTCATCATTATCATAAGCTTTCTGAGACTCCATTGACAACTGTACAAAGAAAAAGAAAATACCAATACGATCAATTGATTTTTGTCAAATCCATCAAACAAAATAGAAAAGAAAAGAAAACATAGACCAGACACAGATTTAAGCCAAAAACAACACTAAGTCTTACCGAATCCAATCATAAATTCCTAATTCCTAAAACTAAATAGGACCAAGACAACTCAAAGAAAATAGAAAAATGACACTACTATCATTTGAACAAGGAAAATTTTAGTTCCCAACCATAGCTACTAAAGAGACTGCGGTTGCGATTTAGAGAGCCACCTAATTGATGCGACAAAACTTATCACAAAAATTTGAGAGAACTCTCATGAGATCTGTGCAAAAGCAAAATAACCATTAATGCGCCTTTCAACAAAGGAGTGCCCACAGCATTGATGTCAAATCTGCACAACGGGCTTTCCGCCAACAAAGCATTTCATAAACGATCTAAACAAAATTTCAAGAGTTGATGTATTTAACATAAACACACCTTTCTATGATAACTCTATAAAGCCATATCTAAGTAGTTCACCATTACTTTGCAAGTCTCAAGAGAGAACTGCTGATGAGATCCACGAACCACAAACAAGAACCAAGGAATCTATCACAAAATGAGAGAACGAAAAGGAACTTCACGCTTTCTAATACAATCAATTGATCTAATATTCTTGTCACCAAGGGAGAGTAGCAGAGAGACACCAATCATAAACACAAGCCAAGGAACAAATACTCACACAAAAGGAGAGAATAAAAGGGGGATCAGCTCTAACACAAAGGGATTTGATCAATAAGTTATAAATAGAGCTCAACAAGTAATATGCGGCGCATGTGTGGTGCTTGGGTAGGGGAGAATCAATTTAGGGTTAGGTTTTTTTAGAATGACTTTTAATAAAATAAGTGCAAGTAATTTAAAATTTTTAAAGTACTATGTATCTGTTTTTGTTTTTTTGTTTTATAACACTGTGTATCTAATTATGTATTGGCCCATTTGCTTATGTTGAGTGCTAGTATATAAAATTGTATAATGCATTATGGTAGTTATGCAATGACATTAAATGTGAAAAAAAAATGAATGTACTTAATTTTTATTTATTTCCTAATATTTTTCTCAATATAAATTATTTTACATCTAAAATTTTCAATATACATTATAAAAAATATTAAACATAGAAAACAAAGAAGATGCATTGAAACAATGAATGTTAAATTGAAAGTTAAAGTATACATTTGGTTCTTTAACTTTGTATAAGGTTTTAATTTGGTCCCTTAACTTTAAAAAGCATACATATAATCCTTTAACCTTAAAATCATTAGACTTTAATGATGATTTTTTGTAATTAAACTTAATATGTTAGCATTTAAGAATATTCTATCAACATTTAAGATCTTAATATCATCATTTTTTTAAAAAAAATTTTTAGGGTTAAAGGACTAAAAATATAGTACTTTTTAAAGTTAAGGAACTAAATTGAAACCTAATACAAAGTTATAGGACCAAATGTATACTTTAGCCTAAATTAAAACTTATTCTTAAAAATGAAAATTAAGAAGATAAAATATCATAGAGTATTACGGTGTTTTTTGATCTATGCCTATCAAATTAACGTAGAATCAAAAGTACATTAATAAATATTTAAATTATATATTCTTTGTATAAGAACTCTTAATTCTCCTGTACAAATAAATTTCATTGGTCTGTTATTTCTTTGACTGTTATCATATAGATCCAATAAATAAACCCCCTCCCTGGTACATGAAT